AGCAGTTAATGGTTCAGCGAGGTGGAATATGTCAAACCGAGAGGAAAATACCAGCATTTTGTATTCACTATGTAAGACTATTATAGGATGGATCTGGAGTTTTGAGTAACTGTCATAAAATTGCCTCTAATGCTACAATGTAAAAATTTTCCACCCAAATATTTCTTTCATATATGCTCATCAAATATCTCTAAATACCACACACTGGAAAGGTTAGGAATGTGAGTAAAATAATAGCATCTTGTAATGAGCTCAGTAGGTCAGGGAAAAAAAAAGTACATTAATTCTGATATTTTAAAATAAAATCTTGATTTTTAAAAAATATAAATAGAGCTGAACTTAAACTGATTCCTGAAACAAAATGATTATTTCCCTACTCATCTCATCTAGTATGAAGCTGTATAACCTGCAAGTTATTTAATCACTCTACATCTCAACTTCATCAGCTCCTTAACTTGGAAAATTGTAATAAAAATGTTGCCAAACTACTCAGATTGTTGGTGCACAATAAAAGCTTAATACATCTTAGCTATTGTAATCATTATATTATTATTTTGTGAGAATTGGCATTAAGTATATATCTTGCCCTCTGAAAGTGGGAAAATTACTGTTTCTTTTATTATTTATCATTGTCCTACTATGATTTTGGGGTGACTGGATATATGTGAAAATGATATTTGCTAAATAAAAACAAGGCCACTGTCACATCATCTACTTTGAGGCACTGTCCTAAGAAGGAAGATTCTATTAACTGAAATGAGATTAAGTCAATGAGACAAAAGTTTTCGTTAATGTTTCCCAGAGAAGTAGGAGGAAAGTAACAGAAGTGGATTGAAGTTGTTTTGTGAAAATAGGATCACTCACATTAGTAACCATGAACATCTAGTTCTCTTCTGTATGAAGCAAAAGTAAAAATAGAGGATGTGAATCTCGGTGACAGAGCAAATGTGGGTGCACTAGCCTTGGGAATATAAAAAAGATTTATAACCAAAAGGTCAGCAGTTCGAATCCACCAGGTGCTCCTTGGAAACCCTATGGGGTAGTTCTACTCTGTCCTTTAGGGTTGCTATGAGTCGGAATTGACTTGACGGTAATGGGTTTTTGAATCTCAAAAAAAGAATTAAAAGTAATTAGTGTGACAAGACCTAAGAAGGATCAACCTTGGATTTTCACTCATTCATGTACTGGATATTGTCTCAGGTGCTATGCAAACAAAGAAGAGCAGGACAGAGTCTCACCTTAAAGTGGCTTGTGGGGGGCAGTCATATAAACAGTAAGCTACGCACTACAACAGCAGGACCTGGGGGAGTGTGATCAACTCGGCTGTGAAAAATGAAGAGCTTCCCAATATATCACAGTATGTGACCCTGCCTCTCAAAAAGACCTCACATTACAGACTTTATAATTATTTTTATCTTTTAACTTTCCATCATGTTTTTCTTTTGAGTTACTCTTTATTTCCTTAAAAAAAAAAAAAGTAAAAATCCTTAGAATGCTTCAAAGAAGATTTTTCACTGGCATATGGACAAGAGGTGAGAGAAAAAGGCGCTGCCAATTTGTCAGCAGATTCTGAAGGAAAGAGCCTCATGTGGGAAGCTCCTGGCATCAGAGATGGGAAGGAGGCAGGCCAATTCCTGGGGTGATTGAAGGAAAGAAAAAAGCGGAAGAGACTCGTGCGAGGCCCTGGCTATTTTACCATATATCTTCTTCTCTCTCAGCCCCTTCTCCTCTCTTCTGACACCTCTTTTCCCATCCTTCCCAGGCACATCTATCCATTGTCCTAAAGAAACAAAACAAAAAAAAAAACAAACCTGTTGCCGTCAAGTGGATGCCGACTCACAGCTATCCTAAAGGACAGAGTGGAACTGCCCCACAGGGTTTCCAAGGAGTGCCTGGTGGATTCAAATTGCTGACTTTTTGGTTAGCAGCCGTAGCTCTTAACCACTATACCACCAGGGTTTCTATCCATTGTCTTAGAGACTGGAAAAAAGACTGCAGCTGGGCATCGACAATGTCTGCTTAGGAGTCGGTTGGTAATAGCTCATTGGGTGACCCCTCCCAAGGACACAGTTATTTTTAGAAGGAAAGTTGGGAAGAACAAAAGTCTTCTACACTCAAGAGACTGCCACTTCAGTGACAAAACAGCACAGACTGGCATAGGCCATTGGGGTCAAATGCTAGCTCCTAACATTCTGTAAATCACCCTACAAATGTAATTATGCACTGTATCTTCTAAGAGGTTGGCTTGGCCAAAGAGCAGAACAATACTGCAACCAGGAACTTATCATGGTCTACAGTAAGCTGACTGTATGGAACTAGATCCAGCTATTTTTTTGTGTTTGCATGGGAAGGCGTTTGCGATTCTGGGAACTATGGTTGTGAGAAGGTGAGCCTGGTGTCCAGGGAAATCTTCAAGTGAAATGGGCTTTGATCCTCCATTTCAGGTTTCCATTTGCTTGGTAGAGCCCAACGGTCTGCATCTGGTGAATTTTAAAGCATCACCAAAAATGACCAAGTTTCTTTGAGTACAATTTCTTATTGCTCACGGGTTTAAACTGCTATACTGTCTTTTCTTTCGTTCATCTTTAACATTACCTCTTTAGAGTTAGGTTCTTAAGGCATCTCTTATCTTCCTTTTGAGTATTCTCTGATTTTTATAAGAAATAGCAGAAAATCTCCTAACTGTTTTGGTGGTTCTATAACAGCAACAACATGTCTTTGATCGACATATGAGGCTTATCTATGTCGGTCAAAATACTGAAAGCTCTCTTAAACACTTGGGCTGTGTCATATGACGGGTGGTCAGAAGTGACATCACATCCAGTTCCCATACTGGATCTCATTTGTATAAATAGAAGTTTACTGTTACAAGAAATAGAATTGAACATTCATTTTTTTCTTAAGTTTCTCTTGCTATAGATCTGCTTTTAAGTTACATTTCCAGTCAGTGACTGATGGCTTAAATCTCACATCTAAAATTCCAAAAGCCATTTGATGGAAAATTTTAGCAGCAGTAGAACTACTCATACATACTTGCTGTGCCAAAGGAAAGAAAGCAGAAAAAGTATCAGCAGACTGTAGTGTCTATGTGGATATGCTTATAAATCAGTACAATGGGATTATTGAAAGCATACATCAAGGGCCTTGCTGTCTATAAGAAGAGTAGTTATCAAACAAACATGTCTTCTGAACATTTGTGTGAATTGCGCCTTACCTTGAGTCCTTAAGCTTAGCACTGGTCAACCCTGAAATGATTCAGCTACATAAGTGGCTTTTTACAGAACAGTTCATCTCTATTTTTTTTCCTGTTTCTTTTTTTTATTGTTGTAAATACTTCTCTATTTTTTGAAATTATTTTCCCAATATTTCTAAACTGAAGTGAAAAATCTAACTCTATTAGTCTGAATCCCATATATTTCATAAAACATTATCTGGCCCTGTCTCTGTATTTACGGAATAAGTACAAATTACTTTTTGGCTTTGATTTCTTATGAGTCTGTACTCTGGCAATAACTCGGGATTAAGCAGGAATTTATAGTTCTCTTTTTACATTTTCCATTGTTACACAAACAGCCTCAGCAAAATAATAAATCCCCAGAGACTTTGGTGGCATGCCTGAAAGCTGCCAGACTCTTGTCAAGGGCACAGGATGGAAATGACGTTACAGAAATTCCACAGCCTGGTTCCACTCGGCCACCTGTCATGAGGAACCACAGCCTTGTCTACCTGCCCTACCACCTGGTTACCATAGCGATTGGGCCAAACCAATACATCTAGTTCTGAAGTCTGACAGAAGAAGCAAGGAATCTATCAAGCGGGACTGCTTATCCTAAAATTATTTATTTGAAGTCGAGCATTCTCAAAATACGAACACCAGGGAAACAATAACATACACTGGTACAGCTAAGCAGAACAATACGGCTACCACTCCAGGTTGCAGAGTGACAGCTGGTGACTTTTGTAAGTGAATGGCATAATAAAATCACGTGGCTGGAACATCTCCACTACCAAGGTGAAAATACTCTATGTATTGGTCAGACAAGGAGACTAAGCAAAATCGCCCAAGACTCTTAAAATGAGATGCTGAAATGTCAGGCTAGCTATTTTCCCTTTTAATATGCAAACCAAGTGGTAAAAATGGAGCTGTTGATATTATATGCAGACTAGGGACTACTGACAAAAGTCCTTTAGAAAATTTAGGCTGATAATGTAGTTCAGGGAAGTTCTTACATTTAATAAGGCTGCCACAAATGCCTTGGAAAAAAAGCCTTAGCTGGACCCCTAAGTCCCCACTGTGCTACTACCATGCTGCATGACACTGGGCAAGTGCCAGTCTCGTTGTGCTTCAGTTGCCTCATCTGTAAAATAAGAGCTTTGGAGCAACAGTCTTCTAAGATCTCTGCCAGCTCTGAAATTCTTGGATTCTATGGGGGAAAATTATAAAATAATGAGGCTGAGTATTAAAAGTGGTGTGTGGGCACCATCACATTGTTTTATGGTGTCACATTATTGACCAGCCCATTTAACGCCAAGTCATGGTTACTTTCACTCGGATAGTCAAGAAACCCTTTTCAATTCCTTCCTTGATTGCTGTAGGGTCTTGTTATGACACCTCAGACACACTGCCTGAGATAATTTGCAAAGAAGAGAGTTAAAAACATCCCCCCACTTCATGCTTCATTAATTCACTCCACAGACATGTCATCATGCAGCATTTCAAGCGTCCACAGCTTCTAGGAAGCGTGGGATGAATTTAACTAAAGTCAGCATATAAAAGACAATTGTCCTCAAGTTGTTGTGGTATTATTTCGTTCTCTAGTCTTTTTCACACACTTAAAATTTATCTTAAAGACATGGAGTCTTTATTGGCATAAACAGCTGATTAACGATAAAGAGATAGTTGGTTACTCTAGAGAGTTATTTGGGAGAAAAGACCACGAAGTGCAAGAGGAAGAGAACACCAAATACCTAGAGTTAACAGACAATCAGAGGGAGCTTACGGATCAAAGGCTGCAAGCAGGAAGTTAAGCAGGAGGCTGATGGACTGTTCCACGTGGATTTGGTGAGTGGTTGGCATCCGTTTGTTGAGCTGGTAAAAAATGGTGGAAAGTACAGCCTCCAAGCGGGCCACATTGAGTTCTATGTTTGGGTCCAGGTTGTTCAGAGCATTTTCCCGCAATGCTTCTATGACGTTCCAAATGTCCACCAGGTGTACTGCATACAATTAAAGCAGAGTTAACATGTCAGCCCAAAGTGCACAGAAAGGTAAATTCATCATTTTGTATGTTACCAAATGTCCTGGTTTACTAGACTCTTCACGGTTTTGGTATGTGTTCAGCTGTTATAGATGGTTGACTTAAGTAAAGATATATAGTGCATGATCTCAAAGATTTGATGTCAATATATAATAGCAAGCAAATGATTTTATTAGACACCACCAAAACCCAAAAAACTATTGCCGTCGGTGAATTTCGACTCACAGTGACCCTGTAGGATAGAGTAGAACTGCCCCATAGGGTTTCCAAGGAGCGGCTGGTGGATCCAAACTGCTGACCTTTTGGTTAGCAGCTGAGCTCTTAACCACTGCACTACCAGGGCTCCACTAGACACCATAGTGAATAGTCACTTCTAATCTTAAAATTGACCCTTGAAATATAGCTTCTATCTCTACGTTTCATGTGAGGAATCTGAAGATCAGAGAAGTTAACTGACAAACGTAAAGTACAAGGCCAGTCAGTGGCAAAACTGGCATTCCGATCCAAGACGATCTGGCTTAAAAGCATTTCCCACTGACCCCTCAAAAAGAAAAGAAGACCAACACATTCTAGAATGCATTTGAAAGAATGTTTGAAAGAATATCAAAACTGCATTTGAATATTTAAAATGGTTTCATTTACTTATATATATTTTTAGTGGCATGAGGTTTGAATAAAAAAAATAAAGGGAAAGTTAATGGAGGCAAGAAGATGGGAAAAGGAAAAGTCATCTGTACCATACAGTAGCAGAAGTAAGTCACAGATCACCAAGCAACCTGGTCAAAAACAAGAAGTTGCTTGCCTACATTATTGGCCAGCTGATTTAATTTAAGTCATGGTTACTTTCACTAGGATAGTTAAGAAATCCAATTTTATTTCTTCTCTGTTTGCCCTGAGGTCTTCTTATGACATCCCAGAGATCATAATCACAATCAAGATAATGAATACATCCATTACCCCTCCTTTGTCACCCATTTCACTCCCTGAGCCAGGCAACTACTGATATGTCTTCTGTCACTATTTTATAGAATCTTGTACAACTGGAACCACATAGTATATACTCTTTTCTGTCTGGATTCTTTTACCTGGTGTAACTATATTGAGAGTCACTCATGTGGTTGCATATATCAATAGTTTGTGCCTTTTTATTGTTGAGTAGTATTCTATTATATGGATGTATCACGATTTGTTTATCTGCTCACTTGTTAATGGACATTTGGGTTGTTCCAGCTTTTAGTTATTATGAATAAAACTGCTATGAATATTCATCCACAAGTCTTTGTATACACATACATTTTTCACTTCTCTTGGTAAATACTAGGAATGAAGTGGCTGGGTTGTATGGTTAATTTTTAAAGAAATTTCCAAACTGTTTCCCAAAGTAGTTGTACTATTTTACATTCCCATTAGCAGGTCTATGAGAGTTCTAGTTCCTACATGTTCTTGGCAAGTTTAAGGCACATTTTTCATTATACTTTTGCATTTTCAAATAAATACTTTATTTTTTCTCAGTAAAACATATTGTTGTATTTCAGTCAGTTCTTAAGAAATGTGTACTCCATATATGCCTTTTCATTAATGACTACTTAGTTTTTATCTCCTACGTCTATGCTCACTTCTGACACTGTATTTGGGCTCCTACTATGTGTGCTTGGCATTGAACTATATGATCATGTGTTTTCTGGGTTCTTCTCTCTCTTTTAATCTGTCTGATCAGGTTCTGTGATTTCTCATTTTTTGTATAGGAGAATTTTATCACCAATTCCTTCTCTAAGACCCATTATTAAAACAACAAAGTATTTTGAAGTCAGCCTCTCTTTTCCGAGCCAAGTTTGACTGTTCTGGGGTTCCCTTCCTTGGTGAATGGCGCCTCCCCCCACTCTCCATTCCCCTGCTCCAGCAAGAATTTGGATTCCATCCTTGGGTCCTATGCTTATCTCTCATCCTATCAATGACCAAGCCCTATGGACTCTATCTCCTTTATAATGCTTTAATCCCTCCATTTCTATGGACTCTTATTGCCCTCACCTAATTCCATCACCCAGTATCATCACCATTATGTCTTATTGAGATGACCGAGTCAGCATTATCTTCATTTTCCCCTACTCCAAGTCTTCCTGTACACTGCAGCCAGAGTGATATTTCTGAACTGCAAATCTGATATGCCACTTGTATGCTGCTTAAAGTCCTTTAATAACCTCCCCTTCACTTTTAATCCAAACTCTTGAACATGGCTTGCAAAGTTCTTTTTGATCTAGTCCCTGAGTACTTCTCCTCCGTGTCTTATCTATCATAACTTAGTGTCAGCACCACTTCCTCAAGGATGTCTTTCTGGATCCTAGCCTCTAGGTTTTGTCCCCCTCCTATGTACCACCTTAGAACCTTGTTCTACCCCATTGCAGCAATTAGTGTGCAGTGCACTCTCTTGTGTGAACTAGTTGGTTGGTTGTCTGTTTTCCCCCTGTATTGCTCGTGCCACAGGAAGTGACGACTGTATTTTTATACTAATAACGCATATCTTCTGTGTTTGTTTGCCAACTGTGATCTCCCCCCGTGAGGTATTTTTGTAAGCATCCTTTGCTAATTTTTTTTTTTTTTACAGCAACATGTAAAAAAGAAAAAAATTGGCATAGTGGTACTTATGAAAATATCTTGTAGGGGGAGGGCACGTTGGCAAACAAATGTAGAAGGCATGTGTTATTTGCCTTAAATTATGGTAAGTCTGTTTTTATAACTGATGCACACACCTAGCACCATCACAGTGCCTTACATATCATAGACTCAATAAACATTTGTTGCCCAAATGAACAAATAACAAGGAAATGACTCCACAGAGAAACAAGGTTTTCTAAGGGTGCATTCTATTTCTAAAAAGGCAGTAAGGCCCAGTTGCGGAGAATTATACAGGTCTTGGTTTGAATCTTGGGTATATTGTCAGTGAAGTAACTTAAGTTTTCTAAGTCTCCATTTTAGATAAATGAGATTGATAATAGCACCTGCCCTCAGATGATTATTTTGAGGATTAAGATTAATTGAGATAATGACTGTAAAATGCTTGGTACCATGCATGTCGCATAGGAAATAATAATTGTTAGCTATTATTATGGATAAACTCAATGTTCACAAATCATATGAAAGTTATTAAAAATACATATGTTCCATATTTGTGTCCCCACACATTCAAGGTCTCAGTATTGGAAAAATAAAATATTAATTCTGGATTACTCTGAGAATGAACAATTATAAACGATTTAAATAAAACCTAGTTTTCGTAAGTATATGTAAGGTACTGTGGTCAGTCCTGGGGTTTCAATAATAAACAAGGCAGGTATGGTTCCTGCCTAGGGGAGCTACTGCCTGGTGGGGATACAGACATGGCTCACGTAATCACACAAACAGATGATCAGAATTATGACATACTGTGACACAGAGGGTGTTAGATACAAAACAGGAGATTACAATATGCTCATGAAGGGGTCAGGAGACCAAGATAAGGCTGGAGGGGCACTGGAGTCATGACAAGGAGACTGGTCTTCATGCTGAGAGTGTGAAGTTACTCAGGGGTTTAAGTAGGAAAGTGACATAATCAGAAATGCAGCTAAAAGAGATCTTCCTGCCTGCAATTGAAGAAAGGGCAGGAGATTGGCAGGCATATATGTGCAATGTTATTTTTGTTAGTTGCCATCAGGTACGCTCCAACTCACGGAGACCTTAGGTATAACATAATGAAATTTGCCTGGTCCCCCACCATCTTCATAATCATTGGTATGCTTGTGTCCATTGTTATAGCTGTTGTGCCAGTCTACCTCATTGAGGGTTTCCCTTGACCCTCGACTTTATCAAACATGATGTCCTTTTCTAGCAACTGGTCTTTTCCAATGACTGTTCAAAGTCAGCAGAAGAGCTCTCGACATCCTGGCTTCTCAGGATTATTCCGGTTGTATTTCTTCTAAGACTGAGCAGAGTAGCTGGAGCCTATTGTTGTAGTCCAAGCAAGTAGTATTTTGCACAGGGGGTAGTAGTACACAGAAAAATTGTAATCATGCACACTGTAAGTACTTATTTTCGAGGGATGGCATATTAGAAAGGATACAGGTTTTACAATCACAAAGATTTAGGTTTCATTCCTGGCTTTACCCACAACTCGTCTGTCAGTTGGTCGCACTGTGGTGGCTTGCATGTTGCTGTGATGCTGGAAGCAACGCCACTTGTATTTCAAATACCAGTAGGTATTTCAAATGTCCACACTGGACAGGTTTCAGTGGAGCTTAGAGACTAAGACAGACTAGGAAGAAATACCTGGCAGTCTACTTCTGAAAATATTGACCAGTGAAAACCTTATGAAAGCAGTGGAACATTGTATAATATAGTGCCAGAAAATGAGCCACTCAGGTTGGAAGGTACTCAAAATACAGCAGAGGAAAAGTAGTCTCCTTAAAGTAGAGTCAACCTTAATGATGTAGATGGAGTGAAGTTTGCTGGACCTTCATTTACTCAAGTGGCATGACTCAAAATGAGAAGAAAAAGCTACAAACATCCATGAATAATCGGGACATGGAATGTACAAAGTATGAATCTAGGAAAATTGGAAATCATCAAAAAATGAAATGGAACTCATAAAGATCAATATCATAGGTATCAGTGAGATGAAATAGATTGGTATTGGCCATTTTGAAACAAGAATCCTATGGTCTACTCTGCTGGGACCGACAAATTGAAGAGAAATGGCATCACATTCATCGTCAAAAAGAACATTTCAAGATCTATCCTGAAGTACAATGCTGTTGGTGATAGGGCAATACTAGTACCAACTACTAATGCCAAAGATGAAGAAATTGAAGACTGAAGATTTTTACCAACTTCTGCAGTCTGAAATTGATCAAACATGCAATTAAGATGCACTGATAATTACTGGTGATTAGAATGCAAAAGTTGTCCAACCAACTGGAAGAGTTCCAT